TAGTAAAAAGAAAGAAATGTTAACTAATCGATTCTACCCTCGATATCAAAACTATATTATCTCCAGCTAATTAAATATTAATTTTCATTCATCCGATTGATCTAAGCCAGATAGAATGTCAGAATCCTAGATGATTATTTTTTTCTCGAAAAAAACAAAATCGACCTTGCCATTTCTAATGCGATTCAAAACTAATAATACCAGACACATAATACAAAGGTTAGTAACGAATGATTAATTAATAATATTGTGTATTATTATCATGCTGAACAAAAAAAAGCATGCCTATAATAATTGAAGGAATTAAAAATAAAACAAATTTAAGAATTTTCATTTACCTTAAATTACAACTCATCTATATTCATTAGTTTTTCTTTTCAAAATCTCTAATCTACAATAAAAATTCTTTATATTTTATTAAATTAAAATATATTTCCGGCATTTAACAAATACAATAAAATAATGAAAAAATTTTCGAAGATTTTATAATTATTAAATTAGATCCAGAGTGTTTGCCAGAGAGATATATCTCCATACATGGATATTCATATATATTTATATTGGCAAATTTTCGGACGAAAACAGACAAAAGAAAAATATTAAATGTAGAGATTCTGATCATTTGCCAAATAAAGCTCTGTACAATACTGATAGAATTTTTAAAAAAAAATCACTGAATTTCATTTAAGACGTTGAGTTATATTAGCAAGAGCAACAGCAAACGCTTGTAACGGTGAAAATGGCCATTCAAAATCAAGTGTATAACAATTGTTTTCAATACGACCAAATTGTATAACCTTAAAGAATAAAATATTTATAATCGAAAAAAATCTTCTTTTTTTATTGTTTTATTACTTGTTTGCCTTTAAATTCAATTTGAAAATTTTTTGCTGATTCAAGTGTTACACGACCACCAAAATCTAATTGATATACTTGAGATTGTTCATTCCATAATCTTAAAATAACCCAAATTTTATCGTTAAAATATTTTTCTTGCAAAAATCTTACGGTGGTCGATTTTGCATTACATAAAACGATGTATCATTTGGATTAGATGCTTGATCAGTTTCTGATGATGATATAAGTCTTGTGAGAGAATCATGCACACCATTCGTACACGTCATCATACGATGTCGTGAACTTACGTGTTTCTAAAACGCAATAAATTTAAATCAGATCAATTATTTTGTAATAGTACTTACTTTTCTTGATGTGTTTATCGTTGAAATCTTTTCTTTCAATAATGGTTCTTCATGTGAATCAAGAGTCTGAATTTCATCATCATCATCGTCATCATCTGTTTCACTATATTCATTTTCTTTCGATATATTTCGAGGTGAAGATGAAGCTGAAAGATATTCATCAGTTGTTGTGGAATTTAACACTATTTGTTGTTGCGGTAAACGTCGTGAAGGTTTTGTTGTTTGATATAAAGTTGGATCACTAAAACTTAATTTTTTTTGTTGATTACTATTTAATGGAGTTATATTACGATATGTTTCGGGTTCGAAACAACTTTCGGGTACATTAGAAACGGTATTTATTAATGTTCGAGTTTTCGAATTTTCATTACTATTATAACCGGTTGAATTATCAATTACTAATGTTGTTCTTGCACTCGCTGTTGATTCAGAAATATTATTTGTAATTGTTGGTGAACAATGACGATGATTTGTCATAGTTATTGAAGATGCTCGATTAAATTTAGGTGATAATGGTTCTTTAACTTGAATACAAAGTGGAGATATAGGACGAATAAAATTTGTTACAGAAGTTGTTGGAGATGTTGAACGACTTAAATTAATTGGTGATGCTGATGATGAATCAGCTGTTAATGAATCAGCAGTTGTTCGTCGTTGATGCTGATGAGCAGCAGTTGTTGTTGCTATAGATGTACGTTGTAAATGACGAGATTTAAGATTTGTATGTGGAGATGATGATCGTTGAGAAAGACGTAACTTTGAGTGAATATTAATACTTTGTGGAGATATTGATGAAATAACGGGTCCATTATCTTCTTTTGTATCGGTTTTATTCGAATTTAATTGTTTTAGTTTACGAATATTAAAATTTTTAATTTTCTTATTTTTACTTTTATGAATCATCTGTTGTTTTTGTTTACGACTATGACAATTATTCGCTACGGTTACGGTCATTTGACGTGGTTGTAAATGTAAAAATGATGTTTTATAAGTAACACTTCCTAAAACATCCGGTAGATGATTTGAATGACCGTAGAATTTAAAACGTGTGCCCCAAATATTCGCTGCAATTGTACATAATTTATTCACCTAAATGAAAAAACATGTATAAGAATTTTGAACAATTAATGTAATAGTATATTACTTTATTTGTTAATTTTTTTCTTGATTGTTTTTCTTGTAAATCATTAATATTTTCATCATCATCTTCATCGGAATTATTATCTGAACTACAGTCTGAATTATTTGTTCTTGGTATTAAATTTTCATTTCCATTATTAACATTTGTTTCAGCAACATAGATTGAATTTCGATTACTAATTAAATTCGAACGATTGTTATTATTATTTACAAATTTTGATTGTTCAACATTTGATATATTATGAAATGTACTTGAATGTGATCGAAATGATAGAAAAGTTTTTTTTCGTAATATTTTTGGTGAATTTAATTTCATTGATGATATTAATGATAAATGATTTGTTTTGATTTTCGGATCAAATATAATAAAATCCGGACAAATTTTTGATGTACGTTTAGCTGTTAATAATGGTATAAGACCACCGAGATATTCTAAATATAAAACGTAAATAGCTCCTGATAGATTATTTGTTGTTGTTGTTCTTGAAAGATTGTCTCGTTCATTATCAATACGTTTCATTGTACATTGTAAACGAAGATGAGATTTTAATGGATTACATACGAATGAATGTAAATGTTTTTGATCAGGTAAAAATCCTTTAATTGTTGAACGATAAAATTTTAAAAGATTTTCTTTTAAATTATTTGGTAAATAAAGTTTATCAAGATTTTGTAAAGAATTATTTAATAGTTGATGTTTGATTTTCATCTGACATAATGTTAACATGGACGGTAAAGGTTTATGTGTTATCCATATGGTATAAACAAAATAACCACATGCAACAAATATAATTTCTAAACAAGAAGAAAAGTATAGATCAAATTTTGTCTAGATTTTTATATTTACCATTGCCATGTGCCCAACATAATGCAGATAACGGTTGAGTCTAGAACAAAAACAAAATTGTGAATAATGGATGTTGATCAACGTATTTATTACAGTGTCATCAGACTTTCTTACTGTGAAATTTAAGATTCATTAGACAATTGTCCTTCGTAAGAAAATACTATTCGACATCTTAGTTTGTTTTCATAGATCGTTATTGTATACTTTTAATAAATTTATTGGTCAATCAATTAAAAGATATCATCTTAGTAAACAGAACTAATACTTTGGTACTTTGATTTTATCTTCTACATAATTAGATTTTACTACATATATCGTATATTCTTTATCAGACGCTAAAAATACATTTTCAATCAACACTAACATATATTATATGGATTATCGGGTACACAAAATTTCTTTATCTAAAGACAAAGATAATCTTGCGTAATATAAAACTTGCATATCTTTTTAATCTCTTCGTATTACAAAAGTGTGTTTTTTTTGAAAATCTTTTACATACCGTTTGTGGAATATGAACACGATGTAAAAATTCTCCTCGACGTGTATAAAATATAATTTGATTTGTATAAGTCATATCATTTAATTGTTTATGACCTCCAACAGCAAGTATTTCACCAGGTGATGACCAATCCATTTTAATATCTATTAGAATAGAAAAGTTATCAGTTTATTTTCTTCTTCTTCTTAATCATTCTTACTTCGAAGATCTGTATCAACAGTTATCGGTGATTGATCAAGATAATGATCAAGGAAAAGTACTTGTCCGTTATCAAGACTACATGCAAGAATATAATCTTCATTAACAAATTTCTTTGCATCTAATTTAAGAATATAAAAATTATGAATAAAAATAAGAAATCAATTACTGTTGCTTGGTGCTTCTGGATAGAATTTATTACATGAATAAATTAATTGTCTAATTATTTGTGTTGATAAAGAAAATACTTCTGTTGTATTTCCATGATGATCCATAACAATTAATTGTCCTCCTGTTGTACCAAGGATAACACTACAAAAAACAAAACAAAAACGAATATAATTTGATTTATTTAGTAAAATTTTTGCTTTTACTGTGAAACATCAGGCATCCATGTAACAGCAGATATTTTTGCTTGTGGAATATTTAAAACAGTCGACCAATAACGTTGTCCAGTAACAGAACCAGCAAGAATAAAATCATCTTCATAACAAATAACAGTCATACGTCCATCATGTGACCACGCCATATCCGTAACTGGATGACTTCGATCATTAATTAATTCTAATGACCAACGATTATCATGTTTAACCCAAACAAAAATAACACCTTTTTCATCAACAGTTGCTAATTTTTCATATGGAATATTCCATGAAACTAGACGAACTTCTGTACGATGTGCACGTAAATTAAAATTTGTACGATCAGGTATAATTAAATTTTCATCCGATTTTATTGATGTATAAGTTACACTAACAATATGATTTGCATTACCAGTTGCTAACCATCCTTCATGGAAATTTCCTGACGGTGATGATGAGGATAATATTGGTCGATCATCATTTGTAGTATTTAATGATGATGAAGGTGGTGTTGGAATATAATTCATCCATGATAGTGATTGAATTATTGAATCGGTTCGCGCAGTATTCGATAATTCAATGTAGGCATACATAGTTTTGCTTGCCTAAGACATTTTATTCTATTTTTGATGGGATAAAAAAAAATCTAAATAAAGAATAAAGTAATTATCAGCCTTTTTTTTATTTTGATTATTATTATGTAGCACCACTTTGCTTTGATTAATCTGAATGTCAAGGGTGTATTAATATATAGGCTTGTCTAGAATAGAACGAAAGATAAGAAGAAGAAAAAGAAGAAAAAAAAACGAGAAAGAGAAAAAAAAAGTATTTCATAGATTCTATTTCTTGGAATAGTTTAACTGACAGTTGCTGTCGACGATCTATTTCGATTTGAAAGAGTATCTTATCATGATATCCATGGATTATAGATAGAATAGTACGGCATACAGACTACCCAACAATAACAACAACATCACTGATAATAAGAACACGATGATGATGCCGACGGCGACATTGGGCCTACTGTTTATCCAACGGATTTTGATGCACGCCTATAACCTTGTTCCATTCTGTCTGTCTGTCTCGTTTATAGCCTTCGGAAACTATTACAAAGAAGGGAAAAAAACGGAAAACAGATATGAAGAGAACGAGTAATCTACTATAGGCAATAGAAATAGAAGAAAAAAAAAAGTTCTCATATACTTCAATACAGATTTATACTTGATTATATTCGACGATTAGAACAGTGAAATGTGTGAGCGTATTGAATTAAAAAACTAATTGACTAAAGTGTCAATTCAACAACACTCTTATGTATAAATCTGATTTTCTTTCGAAATAAAGCCTTAAACATTATTTTAATCACTATTAGAATCAGAAGCTTATTAAAATTGAAGAAAAAAAAAAATCTTGAATTCTGAAAAAAATCAACTGGGTAAATAAACATCATAATAATTATTAAAAAAAAAAGAACAAGAAAGAAAGAAAGAAAAAAAAGAAAAAGACGTACACAAAAACTTTTATCAATGTACATTGGTTTTTTAACAACGAATCGATCCGATATGAAAGAAAAATGAATAACGACATCTGTTGAGTAAACGCAATAGATTATATTATAATGATTAAAATATAGTAAACAATAAGATTCTATACTAATATTTACTATATCATTAAAGATTCTCTTTTTTTTTGTGAAAGAGACTATACTCATTTTTGTATAGATTCTATTATCTTTTTCAATAAATATCAAGATTAAAATAGATTTATTTTTTAATAAAACAAAACAGAACAACTTCATTTCTTTTTTTCTACGTAACAACGACAAAACCATTATATGCTGATGATGGAGGAATATTAGATGAATTCTGATTACTACTGGTGGTTTGTGGTTGCATAAATGTATGAGTCTGCCGACGAAGCCAGTCATCTTTAAAAATATGAATAGTTAATATTTGAACCACATTAGCTAATTTGTTCCATACATGTGCAAGAACTAATTGTTCATCAGCATCACGTCTAAATAAAAAGAAAACATATTTTCCAAGTCTTTCTTTGTTTCATAGAGAATTAGAATAAAAAAGAAACAGACATGTTAATCATGATAGGAAGGCTTTACTGTGTTACCATGTAATCCTTTTTAAGTCTTTAGTAAAACATTGTCAAAGTTTCAATTAATTACATGATAATCATGAAGAATAAATATATGCACGTTTTCTCATTTGATAATCAGTTTTCTTGATAGGAATTAATGACTTAAGCAAAGACTTAGAAATGAATTGAACTGATCTATGTGCAATTTATATGAATATCGATTTTAATTCTGAATAGATATATATGTAAGAAAAGTATTAGAGTATTTAAATTCATTCCGACTGTTTAGTCTGAAATTCATCACGATACTGATTCTATCGTTGTAAAGAGTGTTTATAGTTGTTAAGCTACTTTACACAAACGTTGAGTCCTTTCATAGAACTCAAATATTCGATTTAAATTTTGTCATGATTTCCTTTATCTTTAAAATTCTAATCATATCATTAATATTACCATTTTTTTCATTACCTAAATAAAATGAATATTTTAGTAAAAATCTAGATGACTAGCTATTATTTGAATGATCAAACATAATAATTATTACTATCTAATACTAAACAATAGCCATAGATTATATACATATCAATTGACCTTCATCAAAGGTCAACTATGAATAAAATTGAACTTCTCAATGATAATAATACTTTCTCACCGACAACGAACATGCAATGAACCAACAAGTGTACCAAATGATAAAGCCCAAAAATGTTCATGTCGAAATTCTAAAACTCCATCAAGTCTTGATGCTTCATGTAAACATTTATCTAATTGACCAATCATAGGTGCTGGTGTTGTTTGTAATAAAATTTTACCACTATATATTGCTATTGGTACCATTGTTCCAAATGTCATAAAAGCCATAAGTAATGATGATAATGTATCAACAAAATGTCCATAACCCATTGTTAAAAGAAATGAATCAGAAAAAATAATTGCTAAACCACACCAACAGAGTAATGCCAATGGATTAATACGTGGTAAAAGAAGACGACTTAAACCTGGTATATAATGACATAAATTTTGAAACATATCACTAACATGTTCTTGTAACCAACTTGATGAACTAGCTGCTATAACATGATCAAATGGTTGATTTGGTACAAGATAAATAACAATAAGATGCATAAAAAATGTTATTAATGATGCTGGCATTAAATATCCAATATGTATTGGTTCATTTTCAAGAAATTTCTCAATAGATTCTTTAAGAATAAAAAATGCTCCAAGTATAGAAAGCATTGTTGATGTAAATACAGCTAAGACTTCGAAACGTGCTGTACCATATGAAAATGTTGCAACTGTTTGAGTTGGAATAAATAATGCTGTTGAACTAGTATTAGCTGTTGGTTGAATTTTTTGACGAACTTTTGTATTACGATTTTCAATATTCCATGCTGAGAGAAGAGCTGTACCAATAAATAATAAATCAAATATACATAGAGAACAAAATGCTTGTAAAGCCATAGAATTTGTTTGACCAGCCATTGTAAATACAATAATACATGATAGTAATGTTGCTACTGTTATGATCACTGTACTACGTGAATGAGAAGCTTTGAGAAGATAAAAAAGTGATTTTAGAACGGATGATGATGTATGCATGATCTAAAAGATGTTACATAAGAATCTCGATGTTTTGTAATGAGTTGTTATTTTTTCTGAAAAAAAATTAAAGATGATTATAATTATAACCATCTATTTTTTTTCTTAGAATATTTGATTTCAATTATCATATTGGCGCATCAGTAACCAATATATCCTTGTTCTCTAGATGGCACTTCTATAATATTAAAAATAATTTCAAGATTCATTTAATTTCGTTCTATAAAATAAATCAGAATTTTCAATTAAATTATTAGCAAAAAAAAATTTTAGATAAAAATCCTTCCAACACAAATGAGATAACATTTCCTTTATCAAAATGTCATTTCATCCAATAGTCTACTACCAACACTCATAACCATTGAAAAAGAACGATCAATCAGTTCGCTCGATAAACAAAAGGTACCCTGTTCGTTCTTGACCTTCACTGTTCCTTCTGTATTGGCGCGCTGTTTTGTTTTAATTAACTTAAAATTTCATTATTTCTAGATCAACATGAGATATACTGTATTAGTATTATTTATTTGTTTATTGAATATCTCAATATTAAAAGCTGATGATGATGATATGGATGAAGATATTGCAATTGAAGATCCGTCAAGTGCACCATCATCTGCAAATATTGAGAAAGGCAGTGTACCAACAATAAAATCTTCATCATCAAATATTTATTTTGAAGAACAATTTCAAGATAAATCAAAATGGTCACGTTGGGTTAAATCACAAGCAAAAAAAGATGATGTAGATGAAATTCTAGCTAAATATGATGGTGAATGGGGTATTGAAATTCCTCATACATCAGTTTATAATGATGATAATGCATTAATTTTAAAGGTAAATTAAATTATTATTTATAAAAAAAAAATAAATAATTTTTTTTTTATTTTGTAGTCAAAAGCAAGACATCATGCTATTAGTGCCAGTTTATTTAAACCATTTGATTTTCAAACTAGTCCACTTGTTGTTCAATATGAAGTCAAATATCAAACAAATCAAGAATGTGGTGGTGCTTACGTTAAATTACTTTCCAATGATGGAAAACATCTTGACTTGGTAAATCATATTGAGAAATTAGAGGAAATAAAATATTCATATCGATAAGGTCAATGGGATTAATAGTATTTCTCTGCTAATCCCAATGATATTTTTGAGTAAGCACAGACGAACTATCATAAGAAGTCAAAAGAAAGATCTACATATAATGACCGTAGCCATTGTAGAGCTCTTAAGCAAATATGAAAACACTTCTCTTTTTTTTTCTTCATTAGAAACAAGTAACAGACAAAACACCATATACAATTATGTTTGGCCCAGATATGTGCGGTGTTGATCATAAATATCATTTTATAATTCGTTATAAAAATCCTCGAACAGGTGCTTATAGTGAACACCAAGCAAAAAAAACAACCGAACCATTAGATACTTATTTCACAGATAAAAAGTCGCATTTATATACACTTGGTAAAAAAATGAAAGAAAAATAATTCATTAAATTATATTTAATTATTATTTATTTAGTTTTATCGGCTGACAATAGTTTCAAAATGTATATTGATAATAAATTAGTTAATTCCGGTAGTTTATTAGAAGATATGGAACCATCAATAATACCATCAAAAGAAATTATTGATGAAAGTGATCGTAAACCAGATGATTGGGATGATCGAGAAAAGTAAGAAAACAAAAGAGTCATGTTTTTTTTTAAATGAAATGATTTATTTTAGAATTCCTGATGTAAATTCGAAAAAACCCGATGGTAAAGAATTTTTTTGCCTTTAGTTTAATATTATAATTATTATATTAATTGTTTTAGATTGGGATGAAACTGAACCAAAAGAAATTGAAGATGAATCAGCAACTATTCCATATGGTTGGCTTGAAACTGAATCTGTAACAATTCCAGATCCAGATGCAGTTCGACCAGCCGATTGGTAAGATTCATTTCTATTAAAATTCATTAATTTTTTGTTATTTAAAGGGATGATGAAATTGATGGTACATGGGAAGCACCACGTATTGATAATCCACTCTGTAAAGATGCTCCTGGTTGTGGTGAATGGAAATCACCAATGATTCCTAATCCAGCTTATAAAGGCATTTGGCGAGCACCATTAGTCGATAATCCAAATTATCGTGTATGTTGATTTAAATTCTTATTATAAATCAAAATAAAACTTTTGCTTTTAGGGTAAATGGGAACCACGTAGAATTCCAAATCCTGATTATTTCGAAGAAAATCATCCATTTAAATTAACACCCATTGGTAGTGTTGCACTTGAACTTTGGTCAATGGTTGATGGTATTGTATTTGATAATTTTATTATAACATCTGATCAAGCATTAGCTAAACAATATGGTGATCAAATTTGGTACCCTAAATCAGTTCTTGAAGGCAAAGCCATTTCTGCAGCATCGGACAGTGTTGTTGATGCTGTCCTACGAGCAACAAGAGAACGTCCATGGTTATGGGCTGTCTTTTTAGTTGCAATTTTATTACCATTGATTATTCTTTTTGTATTTTGTTGGGGTAAAAAATCACCAAAAAAATCTGTCAGTGGACAAAAAAAGAAAACTGATGAGGCTGAACAAGATTCTAATGAACAACAAGTATTAACAAGAAATAATAATGATGATGAGGATGAAACAGAAGAAGCAGAAGAAATTGATGAACAACAAATAAAACGTAGGGTTACAACCCCAACTGGTAAAGATGCTTTAGAAAATGACAATGAAGGACAAGCAGAAGAAGAAGATGCCAATGTAAGACATGTTTTTTTTTTGTTCTGCAAAGTTTTATATTATTACTTTTATTTTTTTTTGTTAAGGTTGTCGAAACGAATGAAGATGACAACAATAAAAATTCTTCACCATCGGGTAAAACACGACGACGTTTACGAAAAGAATAATTCAAAATTTAGCCTTTTTACAATCAGTTTGTGTCTGTATTTCTTTCTCCATTTCTCAACGACACTAACTAAAAATCATGTCCATTTGTTTTCTATCAACTATTCCATTTGTCTGTACTTCTCTTTTTTTTTCTCGTTGTTTCGGTCGGTGGATGTGTGTGTGTGTCTATTTCATTTATTTGTTTTTTTTTGTACTTTATCATATTGTTCTTTCCCTTCTTGTCTACATACCATATGTCTTCTGCTACTAGGAATTTTATCTCTTTTTTCTTATATCTCTTGCATATAAATCAAGATTTAAAAGAAATAAAATACGAAAAAAAAAATTAATCACATGATATCATCATATATATTCATAAAAATAGATAAAATGTTATGAATTATTCAATATGTTAATATAGCTATGATTCGATTACAGTTTGAAAACTTAATTGATCTAAGAAAAAGAATATCTAAAACTAATTAATTATATCCGTGACAGATGAATCGGAAGTCCTTGACTAAAGAAAATATTATTCTAAATGATTTTCTCTTCCAATTAGAGATTTTGCATACAATATTTTTCCTCTAAACTAAGTAGTGATAAGATAATCGTTTTTCAACATGGGTGAAAAAATATAACGCATTGCGTTTTAAATAGATTGAATTCCTAAGCATATTTTCTCTTTCGAGGTGAATAAAATGTATGAAACCTATTATTTTCGTAATAGAAGAAAACGATGGTTAACGTTTCCAAAGCAGAAACTTTTACACATAGCAAATATGTAATATGAAAGTACCATAATATTCGATACAATGACTATATAGCAGGTAGAAATAGCAAATACAATATTGTGTAATTTCAGTACTAGTCTAAACTATGATTTAGTATTATAAGAAATCTGAACAGTCAAATTTCTGTCGACTAATTTTAAAAATGTTAAATTTTAAGAAATATTTTAGATCTATATAAGTATACTAATTGATTAACTTTCGACTTCTATAAATTTATTTCTAGAATTAAACGATTATTGGAAATGAATTATAAAACAATATCAAAACGTCATATATAGCTAAATTAAATTATATGCTTGTATCATAATTATGAGATAGTAACGAAAAAAATAAATCGATACCATTTGTTATCGTGTGAATGTGTCTTAGGTTTTCCCTCCATCTAATTCTTGATTTTTATCACTATCATTTCTTCGTAGCTAATATTTGTTATTTCCTTATTCTATCGGCATAACTATATAATATGTTTGTCGCATCCATATGGAATAAAAATGTTGTCCTTCGTCTCTTGTTTGGTTCTGTCATCATTAGCATTTCTATAATAATATCTTAAATAGAACAGACTACATATAGTACATTACATATATATAGAGAGAGATAAGCTTTACTAGAGAGTGTGTTGATCAGTATGACTATAACAATTGGTGGTTCTAATCTTTCTATTGAACCATTATTATTAAATCGAGTATCCGAAGAAGTAAGAGGAACACGACAAACTCTTTTATTTTTAATTTCTGTTATACTTGTAAGTTCGATATATGAAAATAATATATAAAAAATAATGTCAATTCTTATAGAGTATTCATGTGATTAGTTTTATTTTGGTTATTTATTCATTATCAATTAATTTTCGAACAAATACTTATGAACCAATTCTTATTCTTTGGTGGATATTATTTTTTTCTAGTGGCATGTTTATTACACAAAGATACTATACAACAGGATTATATATGGTAAATATTAATTTTACATAGTTAATTTAAATGATTTTTTTTCTTCTTCTTAGTTTGCATGGTTGGGTATTCTTAATATGATTGTCACATGTATACTTATTGTATTTGTCACTGTTGCAGTTGTCATAATTACGTCTCAATTCCCTAAGGAAAGTAATGGAATACCATTTACTCTCATTCCAGTTGTCACATGTTTGACAACTATTATTCTTGATGTAAATATTTCAGTTCAATAATTATATTATATAAACTGTCTTGTTCTATTTTAGGCGGTTATTATTATATATTCATTTAAATTATGGTATCTACTTATAAAAAATCAAAAACCAAGTGGACATCAACGTATTTAACGTCTTAGAATTTTTTTCGAAGAAAGACACTACAATAGAATTGTATATTATTGTATTTTTTAATATGTATATTTCCATTTATTGTATTATAAGATTACATTTTCTTCGTATGTTACTGACTAGAATATCTAGTTTTACAAAACTTTTTGCATTGTTCAAATAAGAAGTAATGAGAATAAAAATTCTTTTATTTTCTTAGCAGTTTGAAGTGAAAACCAAACATAAACAGGATATCTTAATTTCAATCGTCACTGATAAAAGGAATAATATGCATTTGAAAACAGTTCACAAAACAATTCACTATAAATTTCGACCTTGTTTTTATCTTTTTCTTCGATATTTTTGTAATGTCTAAAGAGAGAGTGATAGAGGAATTGTATGTTTAACGGGTAGCATCTGAACTAATCATGCTACATAATTGAATACCGTGAAGAAAGTTGCAGTGGCCTATAACAACATAAATCCAATTTCTATCTATAAATATAAATTGTATATATTACAATAACAGAACAAAACGAGTAATACTATTTCAAGTGAGAAACATTTCGTATATTTGCTAAAATATTGTTGTCTAATCTTTCGAAAATTTAGAATCCATATAAATCATCCTTAATATTTATCACAACAATCTTTACTGATGACATATATATATATAGTTGAAAACGTAGGTCATTTCTACGTATTTTATTATCAAAATAACTTTTCATAAATAAATCAAATAATATTATTTTTGTGGGGCAGAGACTGAGACTAGAATACATGGGAAATAACAGATGTTTGTGTGTTATCAAATTGAATAAAAACCATGTAATCACTATTACTTCAATAGAATAAGAAAAGTTAGAACAACAAATAAAAATGACTCGTCTTGTTTTTCTTTTATTCATTACAACTGTTATTTCAAGTTCAGTTTATCGACCAGTTGTTCTTATGCATGGTATTATAGCATCAGCTCATGATATGGATGAATTAGCTGGTTGGCTTCGAACATCCTTTCCTGGTATATATGTTACTTCAATTGAGATCGGTAATGGTGCAGAGGATTCGTTTCTGTGGCCGTTAGAAAAACAAGTTGAACATTTTTGTAGACATGTTCTTGCTGATGAACATCTACGTCAAGGTTTTAATTTACTTGGATATTCTCAAGGAAGTATTATTGCACGTGGTGCACTTGAAAGATGTTCATTACCTGTTCATAATTTAATAACATTAAGTGGTGTTCATCAAGGAGTTTTTGGTGTACCATATCTTATAATGTTACCTGCACAATTTCGTGAATTAATCACAAAATATGCATATGAAAAACCAGTACAAAATACGATTAGTGCAGCAAATTATTGGCGTGATCCTGATCGATTGAAAAAATACACATCTGAATGTCATTTTCTTCCCGATATAAATAATGAACATGAAGTACGAAATGAAACTTATCGTGCAAATATGCTAAAATTAAATGCATTCGTTATGACCTATTCTGATATTGATGAAATTGTTGCACCTCGGCATTCAGGTTTATTTATGGGTTATGCACCAAATTCACTTCATGTTGAAACATGGAATAATTCAAGACAATTTACAGAAGATCTTATTGGATTAAGAACATTATTTGAACAAGGGAAATTATATACTTTTACATCTCATGTAAAACATCAAGATGTTCCACATAAACCAAACAAAGACTTTCTTATAAAAAATATATTTCCTTTTTTTAATAATACACTTTCATAGAATATATATAACATGCAATAAAATATTTTATTTAACTTTTAAATGATAATGTTACCTAATAATATCACTCCTTGATATCAATCACCAAGTTCAAATAATTCTTTGTGACGCCCACTTTCGACAATTATTCCATTAAAAAGAGTACATATAAAATCTGTATTTTGAATTGTTGTTGATGTTCGATTTTCTTTAGCATAATTTAATTGATCTTGAGGGTAAGGTTGTGAGTGCGGGTTTTCTTTTCAATTCATACTAACATCCACATCAGCCCACATCACATCCACCCTCACCCTCATCCACACTCAAGATGGGTAATGATGAAGCAACACTAGTTATTTGAAAAGACCAACTAAATTGTAGATCTTATATAAACAAAAATTATCAATAAATCATTCTGTATATTAAACTAAGTTTAAGAGTAAATTTTTATGAGAAAAATGGCATTAAACTAAAAATTAACTTTGTGACGATTTCAGGCCGAGTGTAGAGCTGTATAAGATTTGTTATATATGTATACTTTTATTTTTCGAAAGAAATCGCCTGCCTACTGAATATTCCTCGTGCCTCATGCAGCACTCGAAACATTCAGTAGCCTAACATAGAGAAGAACAAATATCAAAAGGTGAGAGTACGGCACGCAAGAACGAAAGGTAATAGTACCGAAAGCAAGAACAAATATCAAAGTACATAGAAAGAAAAGCGATCAAGCCACCGTTTGGCTTGGCACAAACTTACTTTTTACTTTTAATTTAGGCAAACAATAAGAAAACGATGTTGTTTATTCATATGTAGAAGTAAGTGTAATATTTTCTAATCGATGAGATACTTTAATAATACTTTTATTATAAAAACTTTTCGCTCAAGATGATATTTATTTTACCTTTATTCTCTTTTTATCTGTAATACAACTGAATTATTTTATACTGAAATCAAAACCATCATAGAAAAAAATTTTCTACATTTTTTTTCGTCTCCTTAACTGTGAAGACAAAACTGGAAATATCTGATAATAGATTGTAGCTGAACGTCCTCTTTCTATTGGTGGAGGTTAGGTGTATTTCATATTCAATGGCGAACAAGTGTATGTGGGTTACCTTACTCACGTTCTACGTAGAGAAAAATATTTTATTAGTAAAGAGAAAAAATAAAATGTAAATGAGAAGATGTCGTAACAAAAAAGAAAGAATTTCTACTAAATTAATTCTTTTTTCATTATGAAATGAAAACTTATGGATTAATTTATTAAAAATACATAAATCATTCACCGAGACGGTTGATTCGTAGTCCGATGATTCTTAGGATAGATGCACTTTGACATATACATCACTTTAACTGGATAATGTTTTGGTAAGAGACTCATCTGATTTTTCTAATTATGAGAGTGAAGTTGTTTTGGGTGAAACTCAACCTTTTCAGAGAAAAATGAGATGTTTTTTCATAAATAACACCACAAGTTTCACGAATTTTAGATCTTTTATATGAACAATCAAGTTTCACCCAAAACGAGTTTTACATTCATAAACAGAAAAATTTATTCAATCAAAGTGGTGTATGTCAAAGCGTAGCTTTGCTTAGAAATATCGGACCATAGATCAAATCACGTGTTCGTCTGAATATAAAGGTTATAAATTAATCAAAAAAACATTGTGAATATACATTTTCTTCCATCGATATTAATTAACTATGTCATCGCTTTTAACTAATAAAGATTATTTAATTACTTCTCGTCTTTTATCATGTTTTTCTCCATCTTACGGTGGTGGAAATGCTCGTTTAAAATTAATTCAAACGTTAGATAATTCAATGAGTATTTGTACATCAATAAGTAGTCGAATTCAATATCAATTAAAATATCGACATTTAGTTTTATGTCTTCTTTCAATTGCTGTTCAAAAACAAACATCTATATATCATGATGGTGGACTTTATTTTAGTATTATATTTTGTAGTTTTTTAATACAATCTCAAGATATACTATCGAATAAAAAACTTACTTTATTTCAATCTTATTTGGATTTAATCGATCAGATGAATATTCCAAAAGAAATAATTACATTTGATTCAATTTATCAATAAATGAAATTTATTCAGGCTACTAATCCATTGAAACATTAACATTAAATATCCTTGATGAAGGATATTTTTATACATTAACAGAAATAAAAACAACAACTATTGGAAAAAAAGGACTTTCTCCAGTTCTCGAATCAAATCTGGTCATTGCATATCTTTTTAGTATGTTCTAAAACAGAATAAGTTCTCTTAGAACTCAAAGTAAGAGTTCAGTCAATTCCATCTTTGATTATTTTAATCCAAAATAGGAATGTATCATCTCATCCTTATCATATTCTTACAAATATTATTGTAACTAAAGAAGCATTGTGTGGTAGTGGTTGTACTGAAAGTATACAGATTCTTTTTCTAAAAACTCAATTGAATAATTTAGTTGCCCAATATTTATCCCGTAGTCTTCGAAATATTATTCGTACTCAAGTTGATCATACTTATATAATTGATTGAATTTATGGTCATCTTTGGTATTTGCCAGATAATAATTAAATAAGTGAAACATATGCGTGTGAATTATATTCAGCAACAAATAGTTTTGAAACAGAATGCGAAAAATTTATCTTTTTATCTTAATGATGAAAAGCAAAAAGAAAAAAATGTAGGTAACAATGAATTTTTTATTAGATAAATATACTCGAAATATTTAGATAATTTTCATATGAAAACAAATGTATTTAAAACAACTATTGAAACTGCGTTTAATGTTTGTTTATAATCTTTTTCTAGATTTTATTCTTTCTTTCTGCTTTATTACTTATGGCACAGGTAAAGATCATTAAGTTAAATAAAATATAAATATTCTTGATTTAATTCAGAAAGTCGTTGAACGGAATGTGACTCAATACGATGATATTCCATCTGCACGTAAGTTAATGTTATTTAAAAAAAATAATTACAAAAATAATTTGTTTAGGAAGTAGTCATACATTGACAGCAATTGATAATTATTTGTATCTATTTGGTGGTGAACATGATCCACGCATACCAATTGATAATGATGTCTGGCAATTTAATACAGATGATAATCATTGGAAACGCTTATTAGTGAATCGAGGTGAACGACCAGCTCCGAGACTTGGCCATGCAGCAGCTGCTGTGGCACATAAGTAATTTTCATTTTTCATTGTCTAATGTTTGAATTAGGTTATTTATTTTCGGTGGTCGAACGTCAGTGGGTATGAAAGATAGTACTTTAGATGATTTATATTCATTTGATACTGATACTAATGAATGGACGCAACATGAAAAAGCATCAGATGCTGAATACTGGCCAGAAAAACGTAGTTATCATTCAATGGTTAGTGGAGCTGATCAAGTATTTGTTTTTGGTGGTTGTGGTGAAGTAGATCGTCTAAATAGTCTATGGCAATTTGATACTTGTAATAAACAATGGAGACAATTACCTTCACCTGATTCTCAACAGCTTGCAGGACGTGGCGGATGTGCACTCGTTTATCTTAATAATGCATTGTGGGTTTATGGAGGTTTTTGTGGTCACGAATTAGATGATATTGCTCGTTTTGATTTATCAACACAAACATGGACATATTTAGCACATGCGAAAATTTCACCTCGTAGTGTTTTTGCTTTTGGTTGTTTGAATGGTGTACTTCTTGGACATGGTGGTGAACAAGATCCATCTAAATTAGGTCATGCTGGTGCTGGTGAATTTGCTGATGATGTTATAGTCATTCAACCAGTAAACGAAAATAGTGATCATGTAGAAACAAAACGACTTGAATTTGTAAAACCCATTGGTGGAAAACGTGGTTGGCATGCTGGGGCAACAATAAAAAATACATTTTATGTTTTCGGTGGAAATACATCCGAAAATGAACGTGACAATTCATTACTTGCTATTGAATTTCAATAATATTGTATTATATTTTTGGAGCAATTAATGACATAATTGATAAACAACCAAAAGATGAACAGTGAACGTTTTTCTTTTTTTTCAAAATAATAATAAAAAGATTGTGCACGTGATTTATATATTATTTATCGAAAAGGCGGATTGCTTGAAAAAAGACAACAAGGAAAGAAAGGTGACTAAATTATTAAAACAAAATACTGTACTTTCATATTCACGAAGATCAATGTAGCATCTTTTATATTCATTTTTATATAAAGGTTAGTTCCATATTCACTTGACTGAGAAACAATTGAATACCTTAGTTAGAATATCAGCAAACGGACTGAGTTTTTGGCTGATAAGAAAGGTACGCTCATCTGTTAGATCCGTATCAAATAGGGTGTGGGTATGAGCGCTAGACGAATACAGTATCCACACCCACCACATCCACTAACTCTTCAGCTCTGTTCGTGTTGTTGTTTCTCTTTTCATCACCTCAGTCACGATACGCAAATGGTAGGAAATTGACTTGATTTTTATAACATTGATTTATTGATCAAATATGAAGTGATGACACAAGAAGCAATATTGATTAAAGATAAAACGATGAGACAAGAAGCAACATTGATTAAATATGAAGTGATGAGACAAAAAGCAATACAATAAAAATTCAGTTTTTAAAAGTCATGATTTAGTGTTCATTCAATATGGATAGTTGGCTGAAAAGGAACTACTCGTGCTGATGTTGAACGAGGAGCGATTTGCACCCATCTCATAATCTTTTGATACATACGCCATCCGTACCAAACAATAAAACTAAGAACCACCGTCAATCCACCGTACAGCCCAAGCAAAGTGGTGATTATGTAGAGTATTGTGTTGTGATCAATATATTGGTATGAACACGAATGCGGAGCACACGAAGCAAAGTAGCTTGAATAATTACTTGCAATTCCCCAATCTTCCACAAATAAACTATCAACGAGGCTGCCTATGAGAGTATTTGAAGAATAGTTACTAGGTGTTGAAGCATTCAGTGGTCTGGCAATCCAAATAGTGGTAGTGCGTGTAGAAGCAATGCTTGTCAAGTTGAGAATACAGTTGGAATCGAAGAAACATTCTAGAGTCGACAGACGAATACCATCGATTGGTAAACAACTAGCCACTACACCAGGTAATACTGTTGTGTTAGAATTCGCATCAATATATAATGGTCGTGAGAAGCTGTCTAATGATGTAATACATGAATAATTATTCCCAAATGAAGTACGTGGCACAGTGGCAACAACGTAATTGTATGCTGCAGCTGTGAAAGCTATTTGCCAGTTTGTTTCAGGTATAGTCAACAGTTGATTTGCACGAAATGTTTTATAAATGTACGACTGAGTATGACGAAATTTGTCTGGTGTTTGAGTTATAAATGCAGCAGTAAGAGAATTAATTTGAGCTTGAAATAAACTCAATGATATTGCTTCTAAAGTGACTAATTTGTTGCTAAGAAATGCAGTTTTGTCATTGTCGATAGATTGGTTTGCTAATGAACATAATGATGCAAGAACACGAAACTGAATACTAAGAAGTTGAAGATCCCCAAAATTGGCCACATTATCAATGCCCCATAGATAACTCCACCATTGTTGTGCAACGAAATCGCTAGAACATACCTGATGCAATCGAGGTGAAATTGAGAGAAATACACCGTGTTGAATAGAGGTCTGTGAACATAAACATGAGAGACTTGACTTGTATTGATCTTGCAGGTACGAAAATGTTGTTTGAGATGGTGAGAGAACTGTGATAGTGCGTGTTTGTTGACTGAAACTAGTGAAGAAAATGATGACACCGAAAGCTAGAGACAACAAAATGATGTAGAGTCGGCTAGGTTTCTTTGTGTCGATATCATGGTTTGCTGGTAGTTTATCTTTGAAAACATCTATGTTCAACAACGTATTCCGTGTATGGGCTAATAGTAAGCACTGCTTATTGTTGGGCTCACTTGTTTGTGGATCTAGAATGATCAAATGAAACGATTAATCACCTAAACAATATTGCTTTTCAGACTACAATGACTTTGTGTATGGAAGAAGACAATACTCGCACTGATTCTTTTTCTACCTGTGTCATCATTTGAGATTCTTGTTGCATGCAAATGTGAAAGCTTAGGCTAGACAACTAACATGTTGCACTATTTTCTTGTACAATTAAAACGCTAGTTATATATTGCATTGTTTCTAAGAACTACAATCATGAAGTAATTGCATCAAGATTGTGGAAGTGTTGTCAAACTAAAACAGCTTTTTTCTGAGTTGATAATTGGGCAAATTATTTGTTAATACTTTCAAGTAAACTGAAGTCAAAAGAGATGCAACTTAGCCGTTCAAAATCAGAGATGTTCTGGATGTACGAATATATTTTCTTTTCTTAGAATCGCTGCGCACAGGCTAAGACTGAAGGATCGTTGGTTTTTTATGACCTAAAATCTACTACATCGTCGTTATTCATCTCTCTGTCTGTTCTACATCCATACTTCTGGTAAACATGAATAGAATATGCTCCATTCAATTTCTTCTATTTATAGCTATTCTCAAATTCAGAAATTTTGCAAGAAAAATAGTTTGAAAGAGAACAGAGTGAACATGCAGTAGTCCTAAGGAAGGATTTCATAGCTAGAAGCACGCATAAACTTTTTCAGGTCATCTAGTAGTAAACCCCTCCCCCTATAATAGAAGCTCCCCCCCCCCTGTATTAGAAGCCCACCCTGAGATGAGCAACGTGTTTGACGCATTAGAAGCCCCCCTAATTTTTCCAAAATTTTTTTAAAATTTTTCATAATTTTTTCGAATTTCCCTGCTAAAGTTGCTAAAATTTCTCGATTTTAAAGTGAAATTTCGACTAACTCCTATCTAACTATGCTTAAATCTGAAAAAATTGCAAAAAATCTTCTGAAAAACTCATGAAAACCTTCAAAATCTCTAAAAACCTTCCGAATCGGTTTCCTTATCATAGTCTATGAAAATTTTTTGAGACTTAATAGAAGCCCCCTCCAAAAATTATAAACGGTAGCCAAATTAGAAGCCCAGGGGGCTTCTAATATGGGGGGGGGGGGGGTTACTGAAGTAAGTCCCAAATGTTAGCCATTGATTATATAGAAACTCAAAACAACTAATCGTGATTACTAAACTATATAGTAGAAGAAGTCTAGTCCATATTTTCTTATTTGGGAAGCATCGCGACTCCCACGACTTCTCAGATCAAGATAGCTCTGCATCTCATACCATCCATTATTTCACAACGGAAGATTTTTCGTAGCAAAATCGAAAAAATACTTGAATCTTTTCAACAATTGCAGAGATAGCTCGTTTCCAGAAAAATATATTTATGTCCGCTACATTTTTATAGATCAATACTGAAGATTTGCAATAATCGAAGTTGTAAACTACTGTAATTCGACTAAAACGCGTAACGCGTCAACTCAGGGAACCAGACTTTAAAAATTTCGATCTAAATATCATGACCATAGTCTTCTATAGTGTAGTATCAAATGGTTGGATGTTGTTCTAGACTACAAAACTGAGAGGCCAGACTCACATCTATCAAGTTCTCAAGGACCCTCATAGAGAAAAACAGTATTTAATTTTCTGACTTTCATCATCCCGTTACGTTAATTTGACAAAAAAATATCACCTTCCATAAAAAGATCTTCAGAGATTTTTTTTCTTTTGTTGAATAGACCGAACTTGTTTCTATTACTTGTTGATAGAAAAGTTTTGCAAAAGTAGAATATATTCAGAGAAAAACAAGCAAAAAGTGGAGCACCCTCAATTTTTTGTCCTTATTTCATCATTGCGTTTCGTCGTATATTCTTGCTGTAGTTTTCAGACGGCTCATTCAAATTAGATAATATTTTCTCAGATTGTGGGATGATAGAGGTACATCTTTCACCGAAACGATGAGTCTTCTATACTACCTAGTTGTTAAGAAAAGCTAATAAAACTGTAGCCAAAACGTCATCACGTTACGCTCGGAGAAGCCGAATTCTATAAACAATAAGATGACGATAATTGTCCTTATTCTAAGAATAAGTGTCTAGCAAAAAAACAGCTGTTTCACTTCTCATACAATGAAATATAGAGTGAAATATATAGATATTAAATATATGAACTCACCCAATCTGCCGACGCCTTTACAGCGGTGAAAAATACCCACAATCACTTTTATACAAGGTGGCAGAATCAGCTTTAGTGCAACACTAAGTCCACCCAACAAACCGATGAGAACTGTGATGGCAGCAACAAGAGCATATCGTTGAGCATATGTGTATGTGCAACTATCAGGTTTGCAGGTTGAATAGTAGGCCCTGTGATCATTGGATGATGTCCAATTTTCGATAAACATGTCTAATACCAGTGGTTCAAATGTGGAATTGGGCAAAAAACGACTGGGCAAATCTGGATCGAGTGCTGTAGTATTGGCTCCACGAGGATCGATCGGCAACCGCTTATTACTAATGTCAAATAAACGCCTATCAAGCAGAAATTGAGTACATGATTGGTTGTAGAGGCAGTCAAGTGTTGAGACTAGTAATGAGTCTATGGGTGTACAGCCCAAATACATACCAGGAGCAGTAAAATTTGGTGACACATAGACAGTATGGCATGAGCTTGCACTGCAATAGAATCCTAGTGGTCGAGTACAATTGCTGGATATGGCACATGAACAGTTAGATCCCGAAGGATACATATTTCGCAGACGCAATTGAACTCGCGTACGATCAGGCGAGGCCTTTACATTAGGTGCAATGCCTATGGGACTGTAGAATTGGTTATCTCGAATTGCCGTGCTTATTTGAGAAAAAAGAGTCAAAAAAGAAGCTTGTGTTTCTTGTTGAAATTGTTGTGCCAGTTCAGTCGTTTTCTTTTCGAATAATATATATGACATCGGATACGCATTCACTAGTTTTGTGGCACCGAAAACAGCTGCGGCATTTACGAAAGTTGTTTTGGCTGTTTCACACAGTGTTTGCATTAAAGTAAATAGATTCAAACCGGAATTTGCACGAAAATCAGCAGTAAAAAAAGTGATAGTGGTCGAAATGTTTGTCGTGTTGACTGGCGGTGAATGGTAATAGAGTAACCAGCGATCATTTCGAATAAAATCACTTGAGCAGAGCTGATGAAACTGAGGCGTAACAGTCATTATCTCACTATAGGTTACAGAAAGACCAGTGCATGGACATACGAGTGTCGATGAATATCGAGAGTATAGTTGTTCGAAGGTATCCAAAGAAGGTTGCTGTACGGTAACACTTATCGTGGTCACACTCAACAGTGAGTAACTGAAGAGAATGACTGCACCCATAAACGTGAGAAAAATATAGAGACGCGTTGTTTGAATTCCCAAATTCACGGTAGAAAAAGACCTTTCAAACATGTTAAATATGCTGATTAGTTGATGAATTCGATGAATGAGGTTGAGAAGGCGTCCTCCGATGCTTGGCACTAGAACAATTTAAATAGTTTTTATCAGTTGTCATTTATAAAAGAAAAATTGAATATCTGAACAAACAACAGTTTATCTTTCAAACAGTTCTTTATTTTCAAAGTTTCTTCTTTAGAAATATATTGAATCATATAATTCATTAGTATCATTCCGCGAGAATGAAACAATCAGGAAAAGTAAACAAGTTGCCTACCTTCAGGATTATTGTCCATTGTAGGAATTGCTTCACCTCGGCATTTAACTAGTAAATGACGAAATAGTTGTACGAGGAGAGGAACAAGAATACCGAGTATTGTTGTGAGACCCCCGATGAGACTAAGCAGCATCGTCATTGCATAAAGAAAATTACCACGTTGTGTATAGGTGTAGGAGCATGCTTCCGGACGGCATGCATTATAGTAACTGGTGAATTTACTCGAATTTTGCCACGTTTCGACGAAAAGCTGTTCGAACATAGTATTTACAGCTGTATCTACTCCAAAGCGAGATGAAGCAGTCGCATTGAGTGGGATGATCGCTTGTGAAATACCAATAAGATCCAAACATGAACGATTGTAAAAACACTCCAGTGTCGACTGAAGCATTGAATCATGAGGTAGGCACCCAACCAGCATACCTGGCACGATAAATATAGGTGGTGGCGAAGGTTGGTATACACTGCTCATATTCTGTGGAGGACGAATGGCGTAGTTGTAATAACCAGCTTGAAAAGTACAGTTTGACATGGCTGTACAATCGCAAATGGTATTATTCGAATTCGAGGTGTTGCTGATAACATAATTTCCAATTGGGTACTGTCCGTGTTGACTGTAGTATGTCGACACTAATGGATTCTGTATGAGGTAACGATTGGTATTCAAAGCTGACATAATTCCACTATTGAGAGTAACCTGAGATACCAGCTGATCGATGTATTTTACATTCGCTATTGTTGTGGTTTGCATTTGTTCGACAAGTGCTTCAACTTGAGCCTCGAATACTTCACGTGATACAGCTTGATTTGTAATGATTTGTTGTGCTAGAAATTGATTGAGATCACTACTTATAGTCCATGCCGCTGTTTGACACAAGGATGCTAACACCTGAAACTGAGACATAGCCATCAGACGAAAATCTAATGGATAAAATTGAGACATATTTATGTTGAAGAGTGTTGAAATAAATTCTTGAGAGATAAGTTGACTTGAACACACTTGATGATAACGTGGATCGAATAACATAAATTCATCATACCGAATATTGGTTTGTGAACAAGGACAAACGAGAGTATTCGGATACTCATCACTCAAATGTTCAAATTGATCAACCGAAGGTGATGTGACAGTTCCGATGTGTGTTTGCATGCTCAACGTTGCAAACAAAGTGACAATGACAACCGAGATATTCAGAAGAATAATGAACAATCGAGTTGCTAACAACTGATCATCGACTGTCAAAGAGTCATCGGTTTCGTACAAGTTGAGCTTTCCCAACCATACATAGAAACGCTTCCAAATCATCATCGCAACACTCTACACTAGAATTGCTTTCAAGAAAATACTCTTTTACATAGAATCGTACGACAATAATGACTATGAGCACTTCAATTCGGAACAACTGTAAGGCCTGCTTTCATTTATTGTAAGAGAAAATTTAGTGCAAGAGAGAAACACTGGAAGATAAAAAAAAGTTGAATCGTATCTTCCAGCTGTCTTTGAAAATGAGTTGAGCGTTTTTATCGTGTTGTTTGAATGACTTCTGCAAAGTCAGTGAATAATAAAATATCATAGTTCAGTTATGAAAAGTCCGTGAATAATGCATTGTATATATGACTTCTGCAAAGTCAGGGATTATTATAATGATCTAATTGAGAACAGTCATACGTGTGATTTGTTAAAAAATATATAATAAAATCAGCAGTTCGTTTTAGCGGTGGGGTCTATTGAATAGTGATATGCAATAAACTCGTATCAGAAGTTATTTACATCATTTCAGACTGTATTCATATATACAAAGAAACAGTAGAAGATCATTTTTTAGTTTATGTCGTTTGTGATTCCCAATCAGTTTTTTGATTGATATAGTTTCAATAGACTGTGTATTCACGTATATGTAGCTTGGTTTACATATGGAAATATAAAATGACGTCGTTTCGTGTAGTGTGCCGTAATTTATTTTAACTTAGTATTAAATCTATTAATGTTGATACAAGAAGTCGAAAAATATTATCAACGTTTAGAGTTTCTAGATGAAAAACAAGATAATCTCTTTTCCAGTTATTTTAATTACAATTGAATCAAAGAAAGAAAAAACGAATGAAACTACTGGTTTTGACGTTCTTTACTCGTAATTATAATTTGAAATGATGTAAATGACTACTGACATGAATTTATCGTTGATTACCATTGAGAAGGCAATAAAATGTTGATTTTATGTTCATCTTCTAGCAAGGCGAACGTATTAGTGTGCTCAATTAGATCATTATATTATTCACTGACTTTCAAAACTCATTTGAACAATATCATAGAAATACTCCAGGCATTTCCAAAGACAGTTGTTAGATAGGATGCACTTTTTTTACTGATCTTTGTATGTTTATTTCTTATATCATGCTTTTTCTTACAATAAATGAAAGCGCGCCTTACAGCTGTTCCGAAGAAAAACGTTCAAAGTCAGTATTTTAGTTTTCTATCAACAAGATGTCATTGAAGTTATGAAATGAATCCATTATTTATGATTCCATCATTCGGTGAAAATAAATTCTTTAAAACTAATACAAATTATTGGATATATTCGATACGATTTTACCGAAAAGCCAGAAGTCTATGCCTTGAACTATGAACAAGACATTATAACTTTCACATGCAGATTTTTAATTTTCTCTAGTGATCTTGAATATTATTTAGGAAAAAAATTAAACTATCAATATCTCTGCATCTGATTACTACTACGATCATCTATTAATTTCGATTTTTCTTGATGTAATATGTTATTTTTAATGACAACGTCAAAGACCCTATAAAAACATCTATAGAATACTTAGATTTGTAATTGTATGTAAGGTATCGAATGATATGCGACTTGTGTTTCATTTTTGTTCAACAATGAATTAAACTTAATTCATTAGTTTTTCTTATCCTAAGTATGTCAATATTTACTCGGATCGTTTTGATATCATTCATGCATATTAGTTGTATTTATAATATATTTCATGTAATAATTTCAACAGAATAAGATTTTTCGTTTTTTCAATCAGCTTTATGATATTCATTCATTCGGTTATATGCATAAATACTTTGGTTATATAACAGCCAAATGATAAACTATAGGTATCAATTCGAATCAATAAAAACACTGATTTATCGATACTGTTACTACAACGGACTTTCAAATTTGGAATATCTTATTGATAGAAACACGAGTAAATACTCTATGAAAAGACATTATTTTTCAAGTGAAATTTGAAATCACTTGATAATGACTAAGTTAATTTACTAGAAACACCTGACTTTTTCTCTCACTATAAAATTGTTTTCAATGAAAAAAACGTTGACCAATGCATAGTTCTTTTAAAAATAAAGTCAAATGCAATATATTGCCTCTTTGATATTCATGTAGCAAATGTTATTAGGAATATTTAGTAATAGAAGAGACATTGTTTTATCTTTAGATACCATATAATATACAATGATGACACACTTCTTCATAATCAGATAACATAAAATTTAATGTTATAATATACTGATAATAGAACATATACTCAGTTAATTCTATCTATTCAATGTAGTATTTTATTTTCGAAATTAAAAAACAAACAATGTATAATTTTCTATTTAAAATTGATTGATAGTCTCAATAGATAAACTTTTGTTCTCTATTAAACTTTTCCATAGATGGCGCCATTCGCCGATTCTTAAAATAAAACAAATATATATTTCTAAATATTTGATAAAATTAATGTAAACATTTCAATAATTTTTTAAAATGAATTCAAACTATTATCAGTAATTAACAATCATATAATACAATATATATGATTGGTTCGTGTTGGCATAGTCTTCGTCATGCATCTATATCTATTTATTTCTTCCTTCATTGGCAATATACGTATATATATGCTTATTTATCGTTTTCATAAAATTTTCGTCAGTTTTTAGTCAGGATGTCTATCAGGTAAAATTAATTTCTATGACATAACTATTACATTCAACTTGTATGCTATTGCATGCTTCGATGGTTGCATTTCACTATATGTTTTAGACTTATATGTTCAGTGACATAGATGTAGATAGCATGTGTTCATAAATATTATCAATCTAAAATATAAACCTTTTCTTTCAGATTTCTATTTTAAACGACTTAATTTGATCAATGTCTCCTGTTTATTAATATTCAATGATGTAATTTTCTTTTGTATTTTTCTTAATTTATACACTAATTCTTATTTTAGTCGTTCATCGAGTACAAACGTTTCCAATTCATCACAAATGAATTCGTCAGATACTCCAGCAAATTCTTCAGGTTTTAAAACTGGTTTAACATGGGATTTAACTCCTTATGAACAACAACGTAAATCACATGAATTATTACATGATGAAGAATTACTTATAAGTCCAAAATCTTTACAAAGTGAATTAACATGTCCAATTTGTCTCGATCTATTACGTAATACACGCACAACAAAAGAATGTTTGCATCG